AGACAGTCCGCGAGAGGGAGCGCGAGTCCGGGACGTAGCGCCGCGCTCTGGACGCGCCGTCCTGCGCAGCGCGGGAGACAAGCGCGCTCTCGCTCGGCGGTGCAGCCCTGCTCTCGCTGGAAAGCAAACACGGCCGCAGGCAGGCTGCTGAGCTGGCCCGAGTGGGAGTAGACCGATCCAGCCAAATCGCTGCTTCGGGCTCTTTCGTAGATGTGCATTGAGCGGAAGGAGACGGTGGACGCCTCGGACATGCTTTGTGCAACCTGTTTCTGCGACTGTGACTGGAAGGTTGCCGGTTCGAAACCCGCGACTGGCAGAGGAATCCTACTCCGTTGGGCCCCTGAGCGAGGCCCTTCACCCCAACTGCTCCAGGGGCGCCGTACAATGGCAGACCCTGCACTCTGACCCCAAGCTTCTCTCCCTGTCTGTCTGTGTCTCCATGGAGAAAAGCTGGGGTATGTGAAAAGACGAATTCCTAATGCAAGAAATTGTATAGGGCTAATAAAGAAATAAATAATAATAATCATAAAATAATGTTGGCTGTTCGTCTCATCATTTTGAGCATTTTACTACGTCATTTTATTAACTAAATCATGCGAAATGCAACAGAGAACTCCATCTTTTTTTTTAATCGTAAGCGGGCGTTTTGTCAATTGTCGATGACACTGACCAAATATCTTGGGCTTCAGTTTTTCCTGTCTAGCCTTGAGCAGTGCGGTAGATCCGGTGGCATGGCGAGGAGTTTTGTGAGCCGAGTTGAATCGTGGACGGACGTTGCGCCATTGGTGCAACAAATAAGAAATCGGCTTCCTCGTTTCGTATTACTGACCTTTCGTAATTCGGAATCGGCTCAAAACTGCACAACTCAAAGCAGCTGGGTGGTTTGGGTTTGAATATTTCCTGTTCCCCTTTCATACCGACAGAGTGCAGCGCGTGCAGTGGGTAGTCGAGATACATAAAACAATCCGAAAAGTTTCTGCTCCTTCGTTTTTTTTTTCTGCTGAGAACTATGTATGAATATTTCTTTACAAATTAATTTTGGCTTATCTGAAAGAATTCTTATGTTTATTTAGATAAACAAACGAACTAGTCTTAACTAGGATACAATTGTTCTGAGCCAGCTACTCAATTGAAAATAGTTTTCTGAGAGGAAAAACTCGCAGTTTGTCCTGGCTGTCTCTAAAATAGAGACAGTACCGTGAAATCACTTTCTTTAAAATACGTTCCACACCTGGGGTTCAGAAATATTAAAGGGTTTTATATACAAAAGTATATTTGGTGTTACAGTAAAGTGCACCAGGTTATCCAAAAAATGAGAGACAAATACTGACAGAGCAAAAAAAAAATCCCAGTCTGATTAATGATCAACGCATTCAGGAAGCAGCCATGTGCTTATTGATCCCTTCACACGAAACACTGCGATCGGAACATTCCGAACGGATGATCGACTGTCCTCGCCGTTTCTCTAACGCGCCGACCAGCGTTGCAGCGTCCAGGAACACAACCTCTCTTTTATCCGATGTGGCGCTGGGCCGGCGCGCAGATCCCATTGGAAAAGCTTCAGACGCACCTGGAGGACTGGTTCGGTCACGGACATGAAAACCAGGCTTCAAGCACAACTCAAAAGCCCCTTCTCGTCCTGTTCACGCGGGTGGGGCCCCCCCGCGCTCATTGCGCCGTTCCCAGCGGTTCCCTGCTGCTTCTGCTGACGAACGACAGCAGGGGGCTCAGCATCCTCTTGAACGACGCGAACCCGCCGAGCTGGCCCTTCCGGCCCGGGGCCTCCGGCTCCGCCCGGCTCAGTGCGTCGGCGCTGTTGTTGTTCGTGTTCAGGGGCCCAAGAGCCCAGCCCTGCTCGTCCATGGCCCCCAGCAGCTCCCTCATCTCCGCGGGCGCGTCCCCCCTCAGGTACTGCCAGGCTCTCCGGCCGCTGTGGTCCATGGCGTCCACGCTGGCGCTGTAGGCGCCCACCAGGATCTTGACCACCATGTGCCGCCCGTGCATGGCAGCCACGTGGAGCGGGGTGAGCCCCCCGCTGGCTCTCACGTCAATGTTCACCGGCAGCCCCCGGCTTTCCGCGTACCTCATCACCTTTATCAGCGTCTCGTCTTTGCCGTGCTTGGCGAGCCAGTGCATGACCGTGAACCCGGAGACAAAATCCTTTCTGGTTAGCAGGCTCGGGTCCTCCGAGAGGAACTCCACGATGGTGTCGTAATTCCCGTCCACGACCGACAGCATCCAGGCGTGCTCCACCGGATCCAGGGCCCAGAATGTCCTGGTCAGGTTGCCGTCCTCGGTGCTGGGCTGGGCGGCCTCATCCCCGCAGTCCCCGGCAGCGCTGGAGCTCTGCGACGAGACCAGTATGCTGCCCAGGCCGTTGTGCAGACCGTTGTGCAGGAACAGCTCCTTTAGGTATTTCTTCCTCATGGCCGGGGTGAGGGACGCGCACGGGGCGCCGTCGGTCTCGCTCACCTCCGGCTGCCTCTGCAGCTTCGCCCTGCGCGCGGAGGCGTACCCGCAGGCTCTCGCGCTCAGCCGGGGCGCGCGCTCCTCCCGGCTCCCGGTGCCTCCGGCCGCCCGCCAGGCGGCTCTGGGAATCTGGGGGCCCCCGTCGCTGGCACCCGCGGCTGCGCATCTAGACCCTTCCTCCCCCCCCTCCTCCTCTTCCTCCTGCACCGGCGGCGAAGCTGCGGCTGCCTGATACGCATCTAAATGAGCGCCCGGGCTGACCGTCCCTGGCGGTTCGGAGACGCCGGCGCTGTCGCCCATTGCTGAGGAATTTCTCCTCCTCTTCCTCGATCAAGTGCTCTTCTGACGGATAAGAGGGTTTTAAATTCCAGACATCGAAGTTCTCATCCCCGGCGCGAGTATTTGCCCGGGCCCCTTAGGGAAATGAACAACAGTGAGAAAAGCAGTTCCCAGGGCAGCTTTCTGAAATTATTTTTCCTGTTGTACTCGTCCTGAAACCAGACTCCAAACAAAGTGAAACCGACGAGAGAGCAAATTTCGCGGTGGCTGTTGCATTCGTCAATGTGCGCTAGTCCATAACACCTATCTATAGATTGATATAAGACTCACCTGGTGTGCTGTGATCGTCCCCCTTGCCTTTTTTAATGTGTGATCTTAAAAGACACAGAGAGCGCCACCCATTTAACTGTTCCTCTTTCTCGGGTATCTCGTGTTTCCGCTGCTGGTCTTAAGATAAACTACCAAATTTGCGAGAGGAAAAACAAAGCACAAGAAGAGTTCGTTGCGCTCCGTGGGCTTGAGACGTGTGATGTTTAAAGGCGCTACGCCCTTACCCAAACCCACGGAAATGCATTGAGGTTTCTGGTTTGTGCCTCAGTAAAAACCGATTTGTCTGCACGACCCTTTTCCTTGCTGACATATGGGGTAAAACTACGCACCTATTCGGTTTTCATTCCGCAGGTTACTGAGCGGTTCTTATATTCTTTAAAGTAGTTCAACGTCTGTAACAATGTACCTTTCCTCGTCACCTGTGCGCGTTTATCTCCTTGGAAGATCTTTACGCAAACCCGCAGTTCGGTTGCCCGGGCGGTATTCTCCCAGCTTTTATCGCTGAAAATCCTCAAATGCCAGATCCTTCAAGGAAATAGCCTGGTTTAAGACTCTCCATTCCGCGGAAGCTTAGAATACTCTCAAACCGAAATCGCTTCTCCTCTTTCAAGAAGGTCAGGTCTCACCCCTCCTTCTCCGCCCCCCCCCCGCTTTCACCCCACCGCTGCTAACAAAGTTCAGATTTAATCCTGCGCCACTACTGAACCAGCAGTATGCAAGCCGCGACACACGTCTATCAGTATTCCCCCGTCACGATCACTTTTAATATGTTACTCATGAAGAAAGATAAAGTATACTTTGTTTTCGATAGGTATGGATACCTCTAGCAGTCCTAAGGGAGCAGAGAGTCCGCACACCACAAATCTGCCCTGAACAGTGAAGCTTTTCGAAGCGAAAGTAAAGAGAACAGCACGTCGTAGCTCTGTTTCTACTCGACAGTCAGTTTGTTTACGTAATATTCTGCAACAAGATTACAAGCAACTGGGCAATACGGGCATACTGGAAACCTACGTAATATTGCAGAATAAATAATTCCTCTTGGAGTGTCTGTGAACGCATTCTCTTGCTGCAGTGTTTCAGAAGTTGCACCTCGAGACCAATCGTGTTTAAATCGCATGGAAGTTTCTAAAACGATGCAATTAGCGTCATAGCTAATCTTCATAGCTGTCTTCAGTGTGCTAAACCTGTAAAAGATCTTTCCCAAGTCTTGCCAAGCCTGAGGAAGCCGAATTCCTTTTAGACCACAGGGAAAGGCAGTGACGTTGCTTTTCTCCTTTTAACCCCCGTCGGGGTAATCTCAGGATCATTGTCCCGCCAGGAAAATAATGGTAATTATGCTGGGGGAGCGTTTTTTTTCAGTGCCTTTGACTGGGGCGGCCCGGAAATATTTTAATTGAAATGAGATCGAGGTAAAGAGGAGGCGTTCGTAAGCCATGGCCATTCGCCTGTCGACGCTATGGCTAAATTTTTTTGTCTTTGCCACGGACTCTGGGGCACCTTCAGGATTGCACGCGTGAGTGCGGCTTTCATTGCACCTCTTTGGCTTTCTGGGTGTGAGCCCGGAGTGAGTACTTCACTCCCGGGTTCCCTGCCAGCACGGGGGTGGGCGGTTTGTCCCGGAAAGCGCCCCGGGAACAATTATCCGCAGTTCTGTGTTACCGGTGAAACAAGCACTCAGGCCCCACAGCACGGCTGTGTCACTATAAGTCGCAGTAGCTCCTGCAATAGGCGGTGCTGCGGCCGTGTGAGCAAGAAACGGCACAGCGCGGTTCGGTGTCACTTTTCACTGCTGTGTGCTGCGTGTCTTCTCTGAGGGGGTTATTATCAAGACTGGGAGAGCGGGTTCCTACACATTTGTCGACACCAAGACCTGGCATCAGATTTCAAAGATATCCTCCAACTTTTCCTAGTTCACTTATTCTTGTTAACAGGTGAAATCGTTAAAAAAAAATGGGGGGAAAAAGTAGTTTTTTAGGACTACGTTTGCGCTTTTCCTAAATACTATGTCTTTACTAAAATGATAAATCGCTAAGGAACACAGGAAAGTACAAAAATAGACCCGTAAATGTCTTGTGTAAATATTTGAAAATACTGCACACCCTGTTGTTCATATACACACTCTTCTTGTCTCCTGTATGAAGGTGCCGCCGGCCAATGAGGTTGAGTTACCAAGTGCAAGTCAGAGGCAGGAAAGGTTTGATCGCGCAAACTGAAAACGCGACACGGAACTAGGCAGGTGGGCGAGGTGGGCTGCGCCGTCTCGACGTGCGCTCGAAGTCCACAGCAGATCTCGGCGTGTTCACTTTGCTCGAATCTCTAACTGCGGGACGGTACGGTCAATTGTTCGGATAGGAGGGCGTTTCCCAATTAGGGGGTACGTAAATAGGCAGGATTCTCTAGCGTGGATCAAAACACGAGAAACCCCTCCGGCGCTTCCTTCTCTAGTCCACTGATAAGCTTCCTGAGAACTTGAGAATGATCGCATTTCCTGCTGATTTACACTCTTGAGTCTTGGCATCTCGCAGACGTCAGCTTCCCAGGTCCTGTCTGTATCTGCCCCCCTAGTCGCGTGCTGAATAGAGCTCATCCACAGGCGGAGGCGGTGATGTCAGACACCTGGTTTGTTTCTCTTAATCCTGGTTTATCCATATATCGGCAAGACGTGTTCATGATTCGCACACACGCGCTGTTTATTGAGCTAGAACATAAAGAAACGCTATAACACAAGAGCATAACAAGACAGTGGAGGTCATTCGGGTCACACTACTGCAGCAGCCCGTTGGGGTTTTACTAGATAATGTATCCGAGGGCCTCATCCAGCCTTTCCTTGAAAGGAGCTCCAGTCTCCCACACCCCTTCTGGTAAAGCAACGTTTTCTTCAGCAAGTCGAGGATGAAGATGTTGGAAATAACACGATTCAACAGGGGGTATTTCTGAAATTTAAGACTGTGCAGAACACAAAACGTCCAGACCAGCAGGCAGGGGTCACCGGTGTCTGTTATGGACGCCAGCCTTACTGGTGATGAAGAGCCCAGGAGGCACAGCGGCGGCAGCAGACACGGGCGTCCCCCGGTCCAGGACTGGCAACCGCTGCAACAGAGAAGGATTTGGACGGCACGCACGTCAGAACCTCGGGCAGAAGCCAGAACCCGCCCCGGTGCTGCTGGAGTCGTTCTTAATTGATTGCAGAGAGCCGAAACGGAGTTTGGTGGGATTTCTGATATGTTCTCTAATGATTAACGTACATATTAAAATACACATATGACGGAAAATAGAACAACAACGGAAGGTTCCTATCCCCAGCAACAGTTCGCTTTCCCTAGGCCCAGAAGACCGTTTCCTGCTCTTCCAGCAGAGGTGCCCCTCAGGCGAGGCGGTCTGGGACGGTCCTGCGACGCACGCGTGTTGTCTGCGCAATACTGTATTCTAGGTCAGGCGGAGGGGTCCGGCGGTGTAGGAATAAATGGCCAAAAACTCATTATCCACAACATGCTCCAAACAAATACAGAGAAACTATTTAATACAGAGAAACTTCATGGGAACAGGAACTCCTGAATTTGTACACACGTTTCTCCGCTGGTGTAAAGGTCTGTTAGAACGCCCGTTGTGCTGTGTTATTTACATACGCGAACAAATGATGTCAAAAACCCTAATGGCAGCCGAGCTCCCGAACAGTTACACGCAAGGCGGTGTGCATGAGGCAAGGCAGCGCTAACACGCACTTTTCTTTCACCCGCCTGGGACGCAAAGGCGTGAATTTTTAAACTTCAGGGCCTGTTCCCCACCTCATCACAGCAGAACGAACCATTTGGGGGGGGAATTGGAAGGGGGGGGACGCAGGGAAGACAGCGGATTAAAATCTCACCGATGAAAAGGGGATGATCAAAGATCGCTTTTTTTCTTTGCGTGTTGGACGGTGGCGGGAGGAGGGGCCATGTTCCGGCCGGGGCGTGCGGCGGGGCCGGGGCGGCCGGTGTGACGGGGGCGGCGCGGCCCCCGCTGTGGCACCGCCCTTGGGCCGCCCCGCGCTCGCGGCTCCGCGCTGCTTCCTGTTCGGCGACACTGCGAGACGCTGCAGCCATGGCGGCCACGGAGATCGCTCGGCAAGCGGTGAGTGTCTCTAGCCCCGGGGCTCCAGCGCTGCTGTCTGCCCGGGGAGGCAGAGCCGGTCCGAAACCCACCGTCTGCACGCCCTGCACGGCCGGGGTGCGAGGTTACCGGTCGCGGGCTGTAGCGCCAGACACCGTCAGCCCCTCATTTATTCTCCAGTGTAGCGAGTCACGGAAAGGGAAACGTTATATTTTTTCTTCCAGTAGAGGCTGGTAAAAAAAAAAAAACAACAACAACTCCTCGCATCTTAATCCCGGTGAATGATATGTCTGTCGTGTGTTTTTAGTGATGGGTTTGAACGGGTTTTGGTTTTATTCTTAATCGATAAACCATGCGATTGTTTGTTTTTTTTTTTCATGTGGATAAGATCAGCCGTTATATAAAACCGGTATCTTCCTATCGGCTCGGCGAATATTTCAGGTGTGTTATAATGCGCGTTTCGTTTTCGTTGCACACGTCCGTGGATGTACACACAGACGAAAAATTAGAACAGTCTTGTCCGACATCGGTGTGGGACGATCATGCCCGATTCCGCTATTGAACGGTCCTGCGGCCGCCTGTCTCATTGGCTGGCTGGGCGTAGTCTTATCTGCCGTACTGTAATTCAATTAACTCAAGCGGATTAAAGCTAAGCGACCAAAAAAAAAAAACCCAACAACAACAACAACGACGGATGCGTCGGTGGGTTTCGTGCTTTTTTTAGTTGTGGAAAGGTGTGCGGGAGAGTTTCCCGGCGATGGCCGGAGAAGAAGGCAACACTGTTGCAGATGAGCGAAGGGGCCGGATACAGTAAATTGACTCTGGAGCGCCTGGTTCGCAGGGCTCGCCAGCTGCACGCCAGCTCGGAAACACTGAGCGGAGGAAACGACACTCGTTTTTGCGCCGTGCGTTCAGATTTAAAGATATTTTTTCCCCCCCGTGTCTTCACTTTATGTAGGACCCCAAGGCCGGTTTATTTAGATTGCTGAGGCCCAGGTGTCAATGCAGATGGGCCCCCACTGATCAGGACTGTACAGGACTCGCCCGGGCTGCCCGGGTGGTTTCTGCAGCAGGCCTTGGTGACCTGGGGGTGCTGTTGAGTTTAAACACATGGCCTCCCACTGCCAGGGCCGTTTGTGTGTGAGGAAGCTCTTCTCCCCTGATGGGATGTCTGAGACCGGCCTGTTGGAGTTGGCGTAGTCACGCTTGCTTGCCACCTCTGTAAAAGTGGCGGAGTAGTGAAGATGTTCTTTCATGTTGGATTTGACGAGCCACAGTAAAACTCCCCCTGAAACAAACAAAAAAACTTTGTTGATGTATTTTGGGAACCTTAAAGGTTTGAATAGTTTTTTTTACTGAATTCTTAATTATGTATGCCTTTGAATGGTTTTACTTGATTGTATCCCATTATAATTCCTGATTGTCTGCTCAGAGGGGTTTGTGTCTGGTTCCATAGATTTGTGTCTACAATAACTATCTTTATTTTAATTTGCTTTGCATTTGCTGTAGTCATCTTTTGATCAAATTGCGAATATAAGACATCAGTGCCCAGTTTTAAACGGTGTATAGTAGTGTCATATGTGCTGATCATGATGTTTCACAACCGTTTTAAATCCCTTCTTTTTTGATTAACATTGAACCACACAAGAAATGTTTTACAATGCTGTTTGCTGGACTGTTGACTGATTAGTCAGTTCAGTTTTCTGCTTTGCATGATCTATAGCCTTAAATACTGTTGCTTTACTGCTGACAGTCTTTCAATCAAAATCTTGTTGTTTTTGAATGGCAATGCTGTCTAGTAAGACTAATACTGATAATAATAATAATAATTGTTTACACTTATATAGCGCTTTTCTGGACACTCCCCTCAAAGCGCTTTACAGGTAATGGGGATCCCCTCCACCACCACCAATGTGCAGCACAACATTTCTTGTGATGACACATAAACAATAACTTTATTCCTTAAAAGTTACAATTCAGCCTGTTGTTATTGATACTCGAAGACCTTTCAGTGCTGTCTGAGACAGAAGAATAAATTGGACACAGAAATGTTCTGTTACCCGTGTCCACTCAGGGTTTTTTTCTTCAGTGGGTATCTAGGCCCCCTGGTTGGGGGAGTGCAGGTTAGCACAGAATAGCTGGTGACTGAAGTGTCGTGCCTGTCTGTGCCTCCCCACTCCTGAGTGGCAGAGGGAGCTGTCCTGGGTGATCAGGAGGCCGAGTTTGAACTGTGTGCCCTCGGTGGGTGTGTGAGACAGACTGGTTTCCCAGGGGTCTTGAGTACTGAGTATTGGGACTGGCATCTGCATGGAAAGAGAGCAGTAGTTGTGCTCATTGCTGGCTCTAGTACTGTATTGACACACACTGGAGTGTGCAAAACGTTCTAGCCGTCTCGACTGAGGGTCAGGCCCTGCAGTCTCCCGCTGTGATTGAGGTGTTAAGGAAGATTCTTTTTTGTGAGCATATCTGATAGATGGGATATCTTTTACACTTTGGTAATTAGAGACTTGTACCGCGGCATCTTAAACGCAGCATTGAATGAAAGCCCAGTACTAGCCGAAGCTGTTGTAACAGGCATGGCCCTCTGTTCAAGTCTTGCTAACTTTCGAGGTGTCTGTGCTTGTTGTGGATTCCCGCTTGCAGGTGCGAGCTCTCCCCTCTGTTTGTGTGTCCAGCCGGAGACGCGGGACAGGAGAACGCTCGGTCCCAGCCCCGCTCGGCTTTCGGGACCCTGTAATGGCGTCTGCTCTGTCCGCCCGTCCTGGGGGGCCTGTGTCCTGCGCGTCCTCTCGTGGAACGTTTTCTGCGGAAGATGAAGTAGCCGTGAACATTCAGGACTTTCCGGATATGTAAATTGCGGTTTGGCAGGCTGCCTCAGCAGCTCGAATTCTCAACGAGGTTAACAGACAGGAAACAGGAAGTGAGCAGCAGACAACAGCCAGGCTGCCACTGGAGCACCTTGTACGGTATGAGACGGCAGCACCGATGGAGGCTGCGCGCTTGAGGCGGGGGGGGTTGACCAGAAGCTGCGGTGCAACGGGCCTTCCTGCCCCATCCCTGCGCTCAAGCAGACGGTCGGCGTGCTCTTGCGCATGTCACTCCGCCAGGAGTTTTACGCCTGGGACTGGCCCTGGTAGATCTCTCATCCACCCCGAGCGAAAATCAGCACCTCGGCTGCACGAAAAACAAGCCAAAGGACTCAGCCTGGACGTGTATGTGCAGTTGATGTTCCAGTGTGTTTCTGGGAAAGCTCTTCGCCTCGGGCCCTGTGTGGGGGTGTGCTTTGATGAGCTGGGGCTACTTCCTGAGAGACCTGTCCTGGAACGGCACTCCTCCCGTCACAGTCCAAGTTTCCAGTGTTGCAGAGAGCTTCAGTGAAACACGCTTCACCGCCTGAAAATGTTCCTTGAGTTTTTACCAACCAGGCACGCGCAGTTTATAGCGCATGCTCGTTCTGTTCGTGAGCATTAAGAAGCTGGTCCAGGTTATTGCAGAGGTCTAGACTCTTAGTTTGTAGAAAGCTGATTGAAAGAATATATTGAACAACAAGATGCAAATGTGACAGTTATGCTGTGACGTGTTCAACCTGAGGCTCATTGAACATTTGTGGGATCCGTTGTGATGATGTGAGACATCTGTGTGAGCAGTGAACACATGCTTGTCCAGACTGCATGAGAGGAATGGGCCAGAGGAATCACAGGTACACAGCTTGCATCGGTGCCAGCAGACGTCACATACTCCTCGTCTGTGAGTCTCACAGCAGACGGTTAACCAGCCTAGCTGATGAGAAGTGTTCACCTGGATGTTGAATTTACGTTATGTCATGGCATTTCAAACACATGACAGTGTTCCTGCTACAAAAAAGATCAATTTGTGCTTTGAGCAGCCACCTTTAAAGGAGCTACTGTATATAAAAAGTTTATTTTTATTTTCCTGATAAATTTGTGAATTTGTGAAGTTATGAGAGATAGGGTGTCTTTTGTTGCCTAAGAATAAAGGGAACAGACAGATCTTATTGCTGTACTGGTGTGATTTTTAAAGGTTTGCAGCGAACTGTGATCCAGCTAACGTCCATCTGACCAGCGTTAGTGCTGAGATTCGTGACTGCATCATGACACTAGCTGACTGCTGTTGGCTGAGCACTTCTGAGGTTTGGGTTGGATTGCTCTCTTGGTGCTCTGTGACACAGCGCCCCCTGTGGCCCCCCAGGTGCTTGCATTCGTGCAGGGCAATCAGTGAGGGGCTCCTCTTACCACCTGTGAGGTGGTGGAAGCCGTGTGGCTCTCAGGCGAGCGAGTCAGAGCCCACACTTCCTCATTTTCTTCCCCAGTGTGCAGTCGCAGGTTTCACACCCGTGAATCGAGATTTGAAAAGCACGTCTCTTCCAAATTAAGTCTGAAAAATAACCGGTGATTCTATATTTGATTAAGTATATATTGCTAATGAAATTCTGTATGCTTTCTCACTTTCATGTAAAAATGTTCATGTTAAGAAATGAAGTTGTCAAATTCTGTTTTTGTTCCCTGATTTTGTAATGAGGGGTGCCTAAGTTGAGCTGCATTTGCAGCGTCCTGTCTGAGCTAACTGTGTGTGTTTCCTTCAGGGAGAAGGTGCACGGTCCATCCCCCTGTCCGGCCATGTGGGCTTTGACAGCATGCCTGACCAGCTGGTCAACAAGTCCGTCAATCATGGCTTCTGCTTCAACATCCTCTGCGTGGGTGAGTCCGACTCTGTACCAGTGTCATTCTTGTGAAGGGCTTAAACCAGGTAAACCCAGGGCTGTTTCCATTGTGTGGCCATTCATTTTCCATGTCTATGGCGTTTGTGAATTAGACACAGCCGAGGTCACAGGCTACTTGCCTGTCAGTCCCACAGTAGATGGTTGTCCAGCCTGTTAAAGCTGTTTCTGAAGATGACGCAGTTCCTTTTATGTCTTCCAAGCGCTCATGTGTTGATCCTGTAGAGGGCGTCTTGAGTGGCTGCTGGTCTTGCAGGATTATTGTCAGCCTGAAGATAATTTTGCGTCCATCTCTTGCCTTCACTTGTCTGGTTTTCTATAAATGTCTGTGCTGCTCTGTTTCTTGACTTGTAAACTGTGCCCTGAAGATGTTTGTGCTTGCATACTTGACATGTTGTTCTTAGATCCATAACAGCCCAGTGAGGTCATGGAATTAAAGTCCTAATGAAGTGGAAATGTATCTTCCAGTGCACTGTGGGAAGCAGAGTGCGCAGAGCAGCTGGATGCTGTGACCTTTTCACTTCCTCTTCTCCGCTGCCTGTGACATGTAACGATGAAGAAACACAGCAGCTCCTGTCTCGACTGTGAAACAAACAAGCCGTCTTTTCTAGCGATTCTCATAGCCCAGCTCTGCAAGAGAGCAGTGACGTGCCGCCATTGCACTTGAAAATCGCTGGTTATTTGGGGACGTGCAGCATACAACAATAAAATGATGAAATCTAGTAAAGGAATGAAAAACCGCATGGTTTAACAGTTAATGACTAGTTTGTGAGGTTTAGTGTTGTTAATGGTTTTAAAACTGAACCTCATGAAATCTCATTCCTTCTTGGTTTTTCCCCCCAGCAGTGTTTTTGTTTTAAACTCTTATCAAATAACTGAATTTCTAAATCATCCAGCATGTATTGAATATACTGTATATGAAAAGAAGCTACTTTAGTCTGGAGGAGCTTCAAGCACATCACATGTTTTACATCTGGATCTGTTTGTTGGATTTGAAAGGAATACTTTTGGAATATTTTTGTGGAAGCCTGCATGTGCCTTCGAGTTTAGTGCAAAGAAAGAGCTGTAGCTCCATATGGCTGTGGTATGAGTATCTGAGGATGTTGAAATAGTGGCCTTATTTTGAGTTCATATTGGTCATTTATCATTGCGAGTTCTCCTCTGTTGTTTGTGGGTATGTTATTCCCAGTATAAAAGCTCTCTCCTTTCTGTTTGGAGCTGATTCTCTGCCAGACAAGACTGTTCGTTTTTGCCAAGATGTGCTGAACTCTTCTTAGTGGTTTTCTCTTGAGGCTAAACACAAAGGCCCCTCACACTCTGACCTCACACATTGGAGTGGAAGAGCCAATATGTAGTTTCTCAGGGATTCCCTGGTTTCAGAGCTTTTTCCACTTTTAACTCAGTGCGGCATCTTTCCAATTTCAGTGTGCCTGTTCAGTATGTGTGCAACATTGGCCTGGTTTGTGTGATGTAAGGGTGCAACATGCATTAAACAATACCTCTTCTTGAATTTATAAAATAATGAATCCAGTACATTTGTATAGCAGTTTTCATCCCACAGTCTTGCTGAACATCTCACATACAGCCCAGTTCTTCCACCACTGAACTGCAGCAGCCATTCTGCTCCAGAAGTCCCACTGCACAGCAGACCAGGTGGAGACACGAGAAGCTGCTTGCACAGTTTAATTAAGGGTGGGAGTAGGGAGGCCAGGTAGGAATTTAGCTCGAACAGGAGTTTAGCCCTTAGCCAGGGCTAAGACCCCTGCTCTTATGAACAATGTCATAACTCAGATCCTACCATACCGTTCATAAGAGCAGGGGTGTTAGCCATGTTGTTAAATGTCAGGACTTTACCTGAAGGACAGCACCTCCTGCATCTGTGTCCTGAGCCTGCTGGTTTCCTGGTTTCAGGCGAGACGGGCCTGGGCAAGTCCACCCTGATGGACACGCTCTTCAACACCAAGTTTGAGGGGGAGCCCACCCAGCACAATCAGCCCGGCGTGCAGCTCAGGTCCAACACCTACGAGCTGCAGGAGAGCAACGTGCGTCTGAAGCTCACCATGGTCAACACTGTGGGCTTCGGAGACCAGATCAACAAGGAGGACAGGTAGGGGCTTTCTGGGGGCACTGTACCCCTTTCCTCTTTACTCCTCTGATGGGTTGCGTCTCAGTCTGAGCAATTTCAGGGGGAGAAACTGCTCTCTTTTACAGTGAACATATGCTGATTTATTTTCCCATGGTTAATTTGCGTTGAATAACCGGCCAGTGTTCAGGAACAGCAAGAATATTGCTGTCTGCCACGCCAGAGCTTTTTAAATGTTATTTCCTGTTTCCATGATCCAGTTTTGCTCTCAGTGAGAGCTGTGTAGAGAGTTCAGAGCTCAGAAGAGTTTACTCCACACTCATTTTATTTGCTGCATCAATCCAGCATTCAGAACGCCTTGTTTTTTTGCCGACAGTAGAATACTTTTGAAAAGGGCAGAGGAGCCCGATTAGATAAAATCTTATCTCCATTTATGCACATGCAGAGTCGCAATGGGCAAATACTGAGCTGTTTTTTCAAGCTAGATGCGTTGTGGTTGCGTTGTGCTGGGCTGTGCTCCAGGGGCTGCACCTTGCTTGGATCTAGAATTGTGCAAAGTGCTTGAAACTAGTGGTTTTCTGTTGCTTCATGCAGAGACGTACCGATATTGTAATGGCATTAGTGTTCAGCAGTAATGGGCTGTTCGTACGCGGAGGTACGGGTTGGGAATGGGGAGTACTCTCAACTCCTGCGGTCCAGGCATGTGCTGGTTGGAGTCCCGTTGTGATAGTAGCTGACTGAGTCTGGAAGTAGCACAGGTGACCAAGCAGTAGGGTGCGCTGGAGCTGTGGCACTCGTCTTGAGTCGGCTCCACCAGTCCTCCAGTTGGTGCCGAGGCACTGTGGCAGCCAGGGTGTCCACAGTGGCAGAAGGCAGTGGCAAGAGGTTGTAGGCTCAGTGCTTCTACTTTGCTTGTTCAAGAGAGGAACCAAGCGGGTTTCAGCCAGATAGATCCAGCAGGATTGGGGCCTCTACAGAGGCTGTAGAGCGCAGCTGACTCTTCAGAGTGAAACACGAGGACATGCAATAGGTGGAAACCATGTGGAAGTGAGAACAGCCAGCACTTCTTTACCCAAGGGGTTTTGGGTGTACGGAACGAATTGCCTCTCCAGAGGTACCCCGTTCCCCGGCTTCTGGGTGAGATTCACAGATCAATTACCTTCATGACCTCCTCAGCTTTGTAACTGTTCTTGTGAGTTGAGATAAAAACAAAAATACAGTAACAGGCAATTCCAAGCCTGAAGAGCGAGTGGGGTTGGAGGATGGAAGTATGTAAGACAGCCTGCTGGAGCTCCGCACATGTGTGTTGGAAACAGAGGGGTCCCAGTGCTGTTCAGCATTCCCAGCTTGTGTCCATCCTTGCTCTTCTGCCACCGCAGATGTATCTGGGTTTGTTTGCTTTCATTTCTTTGATCTCAGTTTGTCATCTCTAGGAGAAGACTAAAGTATTCTAACCTTTATCCTGCTCGTTCTAGTCATGTGCTGGGAACGTCTATAAAGGTTCCTGCTCACGGTGAAGAGCCTAGTTTTTACTGTTGATAAAGACATTTGTCTCAGACCTCTATCCTGTTTCATTGTCCATTTTATCCATAGAGAGTCTCGGGTTAACTTTATAAATTGGTATAACAAGTCTGAACAAGTACACGTGTGCAGTCATGAGCTAAAATGAACCGCAGCTTAGTTGCAGGGTGTTTTTTTTATTCGGTCACTACTGAGGTTTTCCTTTGAAGTCCAGCAGCCTCTCTGAGGGAGGTGCTGAGTCCCCTGGGCCCTTTCCACTCTGCCTGATGGTTTGCATCTGATGAACCACATGGTGACCTTGCATAATTGTGTTCGAGGATCTGAGAATCGCTGCTCAGCTGCAGGAGCGCTGTGTTTGGAGAAAGTTTTGTGTTGTAGTCTGTTTTATCTCCTTTATCTTCTTTTCTGTTGGAAAAGCATTGGTAGCTTCAGAAACTTAGTCGCATACAGAATTATGTTTTATCAGGAGCGATCAGTTTGGTGTCACAGTTTGTAGTTCTGCCAGCCTTTGGCCTTTGTCCAAATACAACATGTAGAACACTTGAATGGGTCCATAATACAGCTTTGATTAAAGCATTGATACACAATGACCCTGCATCCTGGTACCTTCCCACCAAAGCACTAGTTTCCATCTGCTTGTTTTTTTTTGTCCCCCGGTCGTAAAGCTACAAGCCCATCGTGGAGTTCATCGACACGCAGTTCGAGGCCTATCTGCAGGAGGAGCTGAAGATCAAGCGCACGCTCCACAGTTACCATGACAGTCGCATCCATGCCTGCCTGTACTTCATCGCCCCCACCGGCCACTCGCTCAAGTCCCTCGACCTGGTCACCATGAAGAAGCTGGACAGCAAGGTAAACCCCCAGGGTGCTCCGGAGGGCGTGGGCAGCTGGGAGTCCAGAGAAACACCAGAGCTGAACTCAGTGAAAGTAACTGCAGAGCAGTCATGATGAGCAGAATTTACAGCAGTGAACTGAGCTCTGGAATACCTTTCTTCTTTGCATACTGAAGCTGGCATAGTGACAGGCAGAATGACAGAACAGGTAATAGTCTTTTGCAGGGCTATGAAAAGATTTTACTCTCAGCTGAATCTGTGAAAATGATGAGCTGTTAGTGATCAATCTGGGTCATAAGTATCTTGGGGAGATGGAGGCAGTGTTACTTTCAACAACTAGCAGACCACAGTGCTCTGTGCGCTCTGTGCTCCTAGCAGTGCATAGAGACACCTTGGTAACTGATCCCTGAAAATCCCACAGTGCTGGCATTTGTTTGCTCCTGCACTGCAGAAACTTCTAATGAGCTGCTGGTGTTGTGGGTCCATTCAGCGTGCTGAGCCAGTCAGAGGTGGATTTATGCAGGCTGCTCGTGAGCCCTCAGCCCTCCAGCAGTGGTTGCCTACAGCGGTCTTGTGTTGCCAGGGCAGCTGTGCCTTGTCTGAGGCTTTCTGTTCGTCTTCCTCAAGTGCAGGGGCTTTGGATCGTCAGCTCTCACTTTTGGATGTAGAGCGGAGAGGGAGGGAGGGTCTTTATTTTATCCTTCCGCTCTCCTGTTAGAGTTGTCTGTTTAAGTTTTCTTTCAGTTAAAGGTTGAGGACCCTTGGTTGGGTTTGGGGACAAAAAACACAAAAGAAATGTATGAGCTGCCGAAGTAGTAACGCAGGAGTGCTTGTGTTGTGGCCCGAGTGTTTGTGTCAGGGGCCCGCTGTACACAGCAGGTCATTGAGAGCCCAAGGTAGCGGAAATGTAGCAAACTGGGCTTTCAGAAATGGTCACGTGACCTCAATCCCTGTCCCATTAGAATTGTCCAGTCGCAAAATCGAATAGCACCACAGAGTGGTATCGTGGAGGGGTTGGATTAGTTAGCAAGCTGAGGGAGCAGCGCAGTGAAGTACGCTTCTGCTGGGCCCGCTGGCAGCTGCCAGCAGAGGTGAAATCCAGCTGTGTGTCCCAGCTGCGCTGCCTGGCAGTGCCCGTGTTCGGACTGGTGGCCGGGTGGGTTCTGGTCTTGAAACATTTGTCGCAGCCCATTGTGCGGCTTCGAGCCAAGCCTGCAGAATGAGTTAGCTGCTTCAGTTTCATGGATGCGTCCAAAACCGTGAACATTATGGTACTGTATATGCAGGCTTGGTAGTATTCAGTGTATATTTTTTCAACACACAAAATACCGTGATGAAGCATCAGTCCTTTTAATCTAATATTAATTCGATGATTCTACTATTAATGTGCTTATTTTGCTAATTATCCAGAAGAAGCATATGTTTTTTTTCTTTTAAAAGTATTCAAACTGCTTCAGTGCTTCAAAGACTGAAAACGTGAGCATTTTATAAGTCTCCCCCTTTTTCTTTGTTGAAGATTAAAAAGATGTGTCCCCCACTGTGACCAAATTAAGTTATTTTAAGTTCCAGATCAATCCACAAACTTTCACATAAAATAGACGGATTAATTAGCGGGTTTCAGTTTAAAGGGAGATGGTCTACCACTTCTGGAGAGAGCCAGAAAAGGCAATTAATGTCTGGTAGTTGGACTCAACAACTAACCTGAAAAGATAACAGGTGCATAGTACTATGTTTGCAGACAGACTGTGAACATTGAAAAGTGCAAAACCTACCAGGGGGTCTCAAGCGCTGAAGAGACTTGGAGGTATACAACACAGTATATGAAACCGGTGTGTAGTGCACGTTCTCTCTTGCACTGGCCAGATGTTTTCTTTATTAAAGCCAAGGATGACACTGGCTTGGAGTTTTAAAGCTCTTCCATTTAGCGTAATGGTATGTTTAACTGAAGAGCTGCCCAGATCCTGCTGGGGTAATAGCAGTTTGATACTGCCGGGCTGTAGGCTGCTTATTAGACTTTCTACTACAGTACTAATTACTCGCCTCTCAGCTGTGAGCTTGTGACGTAAGTGGATTGAACATGTACACATCCCACTAGGGCAGTTATTGACTGCTTGATTGCTATGAAAGTTTTTTTTCTCCCCCCCCGACCCCTCTCCAGGTTAACATAATTCCCATCATTGCCAAATCGGACGCGATCTCGAAGAGCGAGCTGACCAAGTTCAAGATCAAGATCACCAGCGAGCTGGTCAGCAACGGCGTGCAGATCTACCAGTTCCCCACCGACGACGAGACCGTGGCCGAGATCAACTCCACCATGAACGTAAGGCTGGCGGTGTGGTCGTCTTCAGTACGGCAGGAGCCTCCACAGAATCTGCTCTCAAATCAGTCAAAGAAAGCTGATTTGCTTCCAAATCCTTTTCTGCTATGATGGTCCCTCAGCCTTAGTAGTGTCAGAGGCTGCTGTCACTTTTTCTTACACAAGCGAGCCTGGGTTTTCACTTCATTGTTTAATTGTTAACGCAGTGGCGAGAGAGAGAGTGGAAAATCCAATTAAAAAAAAACAGTTACAAGGTTTTCCATCCGCCGTGCCAAATGCTCTGCTCTCTGGATCCTTCCTTGTGGCGGTTTGGAGTCTTTGAGCTCCCCAGTGTCCTCCAAGCTGATTTAGTTTTTGAAGGCCTATTGTGTTTGTGTGTCTGCCTATATATCTATCATCAGGACTGGACTCGAGCCAGATTCCCTGTGTAAAAGAGAACTAGGCTATTGTCCACACCAACCTTCCTATTTGTTTGGACCTAAGCGGTCAGCTTCCCACATCCCAGTGCCTCAAGCTAGGAATAGCCAGGGTCAGGCGTGAATGTGAGGCCAGGAGAGCTTTAACCACGAGGAAGGACCTTTACAAATCCCCACCAGCAAGTGGCTGTACAGCTGTCCACTAGACTCTCGCCTGGTTCATCGGCTTATTGCTGCAGCCCTCCAGTTCCCCCGCTCCACAGCAAGGTCACGTGTCCAGTCGATGCAGTGGGCACCCCAGGCAGCTTCACTTAAAAACCAATAGAAATTACGTCTGTGTGCTTCTCTGCTGTTGGGTGTCAGTACACGTTAGTCAGCTGGGGGGGGGCTGGCTGGGCTGATCTGCTTCTTCTGTGTTTCCTTAAGAGTGCAGGCATGTTCTCACAGTCGCTGGTCTCTTTCTCTGTGCAGGGAGGGGGTGTTTTGTCTGCGTGGAAGGTTTCATGGTTACTAGACTTTGTAAATAGTTCTTGATAGGTAGCGTCCTTCTGTGTGGTTCACTGATTGCAGCCTTGTGCTTCGGGTACTAGGGTTGTGCGCAGGCAGTGGGCAGGTTTGGAGCGACCTGTTTTATTTTTTTTGCTAGCAGTAATTAGGTTCTCTCTGCTGAGGTCTATAATTTCTTGAATCAGCGTCGTGATTCTAGACCGCGTCTGAAGTGGAATGAAAAGAAATTGTGTCACTGTCGAGCTGAAGTAATCTGACAGACTCTTGACAGGTTTGCAGACCCATGCAAACATCCATTACCTGTACATGCACAAGAAATGGCGCATGGGTTGTGAATTGTACTGTGCTCAGGACCCCAATGTGATCTGTACGTCTTTCAATCAAATTCCTTCCTTTCATAGACACAGGCAAGCGATCTAACAAGTACAATCCATGCAAAATCAAAGAAATAAGTGATTTTTCTAAAGTGGGTACAGAGTTAGACTGGCACTGGAGTGCAGATGTGCAGTTACGTTAGAAAGCGAGGTGGGCACACAGCGAAGAACATGAGGCACAGTTCTGGAAATGGTTTTGAACGGGGGTGTGATGTTCTCTTCCCCTGGGAAGACGTGGCTGCTGTGAGGCCCTGCCTCTCGCGTCCCTCCTGCCCTTCCGGAGGCTGACGGGGGGCTGTGTGCCGGGGGTGTTTTCCAGGGCCATTTGCCGTTCGCGGTGGTTGGAAGCACGGAGGAAGTGAAGATCGGGAACAAGATGGTGAAGGCGCGCCAGTACCCCTGGGGGACGGTGCAGGGTGAGTTGCTGTCACGTCCCAGGCAGGAAACGAGAGAGATTCTCCGGCGGCTGGGCCTGGGCTGGACCGTCCTGCAGCCCAGAGGCTCAGCGCTTGCCGGTGCCTCTGTGTGTCTTGCTCTTTATCAGGCAGGATCAAGAATTTCCTCATTTACAGCTCCACCCTCTCCCTTAACTGGAATCCACCAGAAGCTCAAGAGTGGCGTCTCTTCTGTGTGCTCTGTGTCTGTGATGCAGAAGACACAGAAGAGAGTCTTGGTCGTCAGTGTCTGATCTGGTGGGAACGAGAGCAGCCCACACATGCACGTTGGCAGAAACAAAATTAAAATCTACTGGCCAGCGCCGGCAGTGAAACGATGAGCAGAGGGAAGAGCTTTCAGAGCGTTGCAGGTCCCGGTGGAGCTCTGGGCGGTGTGTGTGCGCAGGGCTGTGCCGCGCTGCGCCCCAGGGCAGCGGGAGCAGGGAAGGGCTGCCTCCTTGGCATTGCTGCTGGCCTTCGCTGCCTGTGTGGGCAGCAGGCACACAGCGGTGTGGCTCACACCGGGCAGAGCTTCCTGGTACTGACCAGCTCTGCCTGCTCTGCTCCTCTCGTCCTGCAGCCAGTTAACTCAGGTCCAGTGACACCGGAGCACAAGCGTTCTGTCCTGAGTCCTTATCTAGTCTGTTTAAGCAACCTGTGTGGAGTCTGTTACTGGACTTGATTGATTGGTTTTTATCACCCCACTGTGGCCAGCCGTGTGCAGTACAGACTGCTCTTGCAGGGGTTTCTGAGTCTGGGCTGCGGGAGGCAGGCCGGTGCTAAACCCCACTGGGCTGCTTCTGTTGCTCTCTGCTTGTGTGGGGGGGGCGGAGCAGAGCGGGGGGGGCGCGCAGCCGGAGAGCCCTGAGAAACAGAGCCGCTGTGTCTCTGTCGCTCCCAGTGGAGAACGAGAACCACTGCGACTTCGTGAAGCTGCGGGAGATGCTGATCCGCGTCAACATGGAGGACCTGCGGGAGCAGACCCACACGCGCCATTATGAGCTGTACCGCCGCTGCAAGCTGGAGGAGATGGGCTTCAAGGACACCGACCCCGACAGCAAGCCCTTCAGGTCAGTGAGCCGGCCCGCGCCCGGGCCGTTCTGTTACTTTAAATGGACTTCCAGTCTGCGCTGGAACCTTTTCAGTTGAATTGCCCATATTCGTCAGGTTAAGCTGTAATTCATTTGGTCGCGATGCCTGTAGACTGTCCTGTTGGGCGGTGATCTGCAGCTGGCGCTGCTCGATCCGCGTTCGCTCGGTGATACTGGCAACTCCACCCCCCACCCTTTCCTCTCTGCGCCGCAGCCTGCAGGAGACCTACGAGGCCAAGCGGAACGAGTTCATGGGCGAGCTGCAGAAGAAGGAGGAGGAGATGCGCCAGATGTTCGTCCAGAGGGTGAAGGAGAAAGAAGCGGAGCTCAAGGAAGCAGAGAAAGAGGTCGGGCCTGTTGCTGTGCGTTTCTGTCCCCTTTCCAAAGGCAGGTCTTTGCACAGGATGATGGCAGTGCTGAATATTCAGGTTGACTTTCCTAATCCGTGTCCCACCACCCTCAGTCCACAAGCGTGCACCAGAGCCCCAGAAGGTGGCGTGGCCATGCGGTCTCGCGCGTGCGTTAGTGTCTGCCTCCTCCACACAGCTGCCATAACGTGCTTGTCCTCGCCCCCAGCTCCACGAGAAGTTCGACCGCCTGAAGAAGCTGCACCAGGAGGAGAAGAAGAAGCTGGAGGACAAGAAGAAGGTCTTGGACGACGAAGTGAACGCCTTCAAGCAGAGGAAGACCGCCACAGAGCTGCTGCAGTCCCAGGGGCAGCCAGGGGGCTCGCAGACTCTAAAGAGGGAGAAGGAGAGAAAAAAGTAAGTATGCCCCCCTCCCCTCCCCCCCACCACAGAACACCCTCTGCAAGCCCGGTCTGGGCGCTGTCTGCCCCGATGGGCCGTCTAACACCGTCTGAACTGGCCCTGTGTGCGACGGGTGCCCTGTGCTCACCCTGCGGGCGAGTCCTGCTCTGTGACCGGGGGGGTTGTGTCAGAGTCCTGCCCTCGGTGTCCTGCAGTGAACGGAGGTGCTCTGTGCGGCAGCAGACTAAAGCAGCTGGCTCTGCCTGCAGCTGTGCCATTTGAAAACAGGAGTATATAATATTAATGAACGGGTGGGAGACAAGTTCTAACATTCTCCATTTTCTTTTCTGTCTGAATATTTACATGCTAATTTGTTTTGCAGCATTCTTTCAGGTATTACAAGCATGGTTTGCTTTTCTTCGCATTATTTCTTAGCTCACTGCATATTTTCAAACATATTTTGGAGTTATATCATTACAACATAGTATGTTTTTTTTACTTATTTTTAGCATTAAGAACATGTGGGACAGTGTGATTGGGCAGAACTTGACACTTCCTATAGGTGTCTTGTGAAGCTGAGAATGTTACGAAATGCTTAAGTGTGGTTTGCTTGATCTTTCGAGGGTTTCGGATCTGGGGGTTAAAGATGTATTTTTTAAAGATGTGAATTCATCGTTGTTTACATTACTCAGCCTGCTGAAAGTGTGTCTCTTCATGCATTACTCTTCCTCAGTTAGCCTGGTTCTTTTCGTTTCTCGTGGCTATGCTGCAGTAGTTTCACAGACCCTGCGTAGCACTGATTTTGCACAGCCTCCTGTTCATACAGGGAAACAGCAGGTACTGGTGAGAGCTCTGGGCTCCAGACCAGAGAGCCATTAGTTCAGCTCCCAGGTGGGACACTGAGCAAGGCCCTTCACTCACTGCTGTGTTTGTGGATCTGCAGTTCATAACCGCAGAAGACCGGTTGCTCTCTAATAACTGACCTGGTGAAGTAGAGGAATAGAAACAAAGCTGGGTCAGGGTCGGTGAAACCAGTCCTTTTCGGTGTTTTTTGTTGTTTTTCCTTTCTGATGCCTAAGTGTGGAGGGATTTGTAAGGAAGAAAGAAATCTAAATAGCGTGGTCTTGAGGGATGGTGGTTCGTGGTGCATTGCTCTCTGGAGGAGGCCTGTCTGACGCAGGCAGTGACTAGTTAGTGTGTGGGGCCCTGAGTGGAGCAGGGGTGCAGATGCCCACTAGTGCGGCCTCCTGCCAGCCCCGTTTCACTCATCGCTGTGCGCTGTGGTTGTCTGTTCAAGCTGATTTTACAAGACCACCCGGACTCCCGAGGAAAAGAAGCCATTGCATTAAAAAGGTTCATTCTTCGTTTATTTCTTATTGTGTCACTGCTGACATTGTCGGACGTTCTCTTTCCGCCACACAGCCCCGTCTATCTGTCGTAAAGCACTGTAGGGTCTCTCATGTTCAGCTCTTCGTCATCGAGCGTCGATGGGTTACTGGTCAAAGCCGCGCTCCTCTCGCTGCGGTTTCCAGATCTCGACCTGCAGGCCCAGCGGGGGCTCCTGCCTGGGTCAGTGGGCTCCGCGGCTGACCTTTGCCCTTCTGTCAGGACCGGCGTGGCGGGCTTTGTGCAGTAACCCAGCGCTCGCTGCGAAGCATGTTCCAGAGTCCTTGCCATCCTCAGCTTGTCACGTGTGTACTGTTTTACAGTTAATCCGGCCGCTCGCTGCATGGCGCATGACCGCCCTTGTCCTGGTAAGGCTTGTTCACTAACACTGCTCATAGCAATGAGAACGAATGAAAGGTCGAAACTGCGGCAAGACAGCTTGCACAACGCACGTTCGTCCGTGTCGGACTCCTGATCTCAACGAAGGCTCGGGCCTCGTGAGGGGTTGAGGTGGAAAAAAGCCCTGGTGTGTGAAACTAGAGGGCAGAGCTGGGGAATCCTGTTTGCTCTCTCTCCCTGCAGAGCCTGCAGCCTGGGGCGACAGGGCAGAGGTGGAACTGACAGGGAGTGTCAGTTTCTCAAGAGGGGCTGCATAGGCATCTCTTGTAGAATGCAGCTCAGAGGGGCTGCATAGGCATCTCTTGTAGAATGCAGCTCAGACAGGAACTGCGAGTGCAGGTGTTTGTAAAGAGTGATGTAAAGGTACTTTCCATGTTTGCCATACGGTGTTGAGAATTTCTTACATTTTTGTCACCTGGCCCTTTCTTCATTTTAAACCTTCAGAAGCTGTACCCTGCCTGTATACAGCACGCCTTTTTCCTGGGTGGTTTCACATTTTAATCTGAGCAGCAGTCCCCCCCGATTGTTTCAGGTGCAGGTCGCCTGTGCCTGGTTCTGCAGCATTGGTGGCCTTGCTTTGTTTTCTGATCTGTTAGGATAAGTTCAAGTTTGTCATTCCAGCCATATACAAGTATAGAGTGCGGCGAGATAGCGTTCTCCAGACACTGACAAGACAATGCTATAGACAGTGTAGACATAGACATTTCAGACAGGGTACAGGGTACATAAAGTGCAATGTGCAGCGTGCAATTTACGTTACAGGATTGTGCAAAGAATACGTCAGACAGTATGCCTGACATTAGGCAAAGAAAACATGGCCTCTCCCTGTTGTCCGTTTCGGTCAGCCTGACAAGACATGAGCACAGACCTCTGCACAATGAATAGTTTCCCGGACTGTGCAGAGCGCTGGAGCTCCTGTTACACTCTTCTGATACGTGTTCATGCTCTTCCCTTGGAAAGATGAGCAGGAGAATGAGGGACTTGAGGGAGTTGCACTGGGAAGGAAACGGTGGCAGTAAATTCAGGCCGTGGTATATAGTCCAGCTAGTGCCAGGCACCAAGTATATTACTGCCCCCGCAGTGTGCTGTTCCTGCCTCCTCCTGCTCCTCCAACAATATGCTATTGTGGGGTCTCCCTGTTGTTCGTTGACGCTGAACAAATGTCGATTCAGATCAGGTCCCACAACAGTCCCGCACTTCAGAAGCATCTCCAACAAAGGCTCATCCCTGTTGTGTTTTTGTATCTCTTTCTGAAACGGATCGACTTTCAGTGGATGTTTAATTCTGTCCCCCCCCCCCCCACCTTAGCTTAAAAAGTTCTGATTTGTTTTCCCTCTCGTTGTTTTATCTGCCGGAGAGAAAGAAAAGGCTTTTAACGAGACATCTGCTTCGCCATTTCCTGTGGGCCATTTTTAGCCCAGAGCTGCCAGCGTTTTGTGTTCTGTAGAGGATGGAGAAGTAATTCTTGATCTGGCTTTGAAACAGTGGTGAAATTAAAGCAACATGTGAATGCCGAAAGTGGAAATACGTGTGTGGAGGCTTTTTGTCTAGAGAATAAAACATGAATAGATTGGGATTAGGGGTTGGTTAGGTTGTGATAAACCGACAAAATGTCTCTCAATCTGAAATAATTCTGTAGTTCTATTGTAGCTAGGACAGACCCTAGGAGTTGAGCACAGAGAGGAGATGAGGCTGTGATCTCAGTTGAAGTTGAACTGGAGGGTCTTCATTTTGGATTGATTGCAAGAGCAGGATTAAAACAGTATTGTCACCACTAACCTGAGCCTGTTTTTGTACTCAAGTGACATTGCCTTGGATCTGTTGTTGGAATACCTGGACTGTTCTCAGACTAATTTCATACGAAAAGAAGACCGTTGCTCTTTAATTACGGCTGACGCTCGCTTTAGAGAAGAAACATAGTCGGCCTTGATTTGAACAGTCCTCCATTCCAGTCACCAGTTACACTTTAGTTTGCATCTCAAAACTTTCTCCATCCCAATTTTCTTTTCTTGCTGATGTGATCTAGTTCCTCTTGGTTCTTGTTTTGGAACTTGTAGATCAGTATTTTTAGAATGTGACCTGCTTTCCTAAATTATGAATTGATGTGCTAAACTCCAGGATTCCCCATAGTCATTTAATTTGTTTCTTATCTACAGGACTTTCCTGTTTGTGAGCACTTTGCAGGTTGACACGTAAAATGTAATAAGTGTTTCTCCATCTTCTGTTGTGATGTGTTGGCTAATACAGGCAGATTTCCTGTGCCTGCGCAGTAGGCCAGAGGCCCTTCATCCTAGTGAATTTCTGTTTCTTTGAGTAGAGGAACATTCTGAATGGTTCTCAGTGTGCTTTCTTTTAAGATCTGGAGTTGGAGGTAAATCACTGTTAGTGCAAAATGCGAAAAATGGCCGCAGTAGCGATGCAGAACTTATCATGTTTATTATACATCTAAGAATAAGTCCTCCTTATTTGATCTCATTGCTATACAAATTGATTTGCATGATTCATTGTACAGATAAACCACTAACTGACATACTTTTTTTTGCTGTTTTATAAAAATTATACAATTTAATGATTACGTAACCCCTAGAAAACATTAACCCTCCTTCTCTTTCGTTTCCAGTTCAGGCTTCCTGTAGAAAGTCCTTCCCCAGCAAGCTGTGAATGAGTTTTCACCCCATTTGTTCCCAGCAGTGCTGCTGTGTGTCTTGTCTTCCCATCCCCACTCTCAGTTTAAAACACAAGCACCCCCAAAACCACATGGCTGTGCTAAGCAGAAGAAACCAGCAATAACTGTGAATGGGACTGCTCATTTCATGTTTTTGAAGCATTTTTATATAAAATTGTTAGCTTTTTTTTTTCTTTTGACACCTTGCATAGTTCGTGTGTGCTGTAACATTAACATTTGTGATTGTTGGCTCAAATAAAATAAACATCGGTTGTGAGGTGCAGTACTTAGTACAATACAGACTTGGACTCGTTTATTTTACCCCTTTAATAAGGTGGAGGTTGGTCCTAAAAATTAACACCGTTTAATCCTTTCAAAAGATTTAATTACATCTCTTGTTTAATGTATCTGAAATTCTGGTATTGGAGTAGAGCTCGTTCATTTCAGTTCTTCCAGTCTGAAGCCTTACAGCTTTTATGACCCGATGTTTCTTTATTTGAACTTTTTTTCCACATTTTGCATGTGCAGTTAGTAGAGCTTTCTAGTCATGTTAAGAGCCATACCTCATTTTTTGTTTTTTAATATATTAAAAGCACATCTGTATTAGAAGAAGAGCTTCACGATGACACGTTGTGGCTATTGTATAATGCTGAAGATTTTATACCAAATATGTTTGAAATCTTTTAACCAATGAAGTGTTTTTATTATTCTGTGTATAAGCACAAAATCCGGCCCAATGCATACCGAGCGGTATGATCTGAAGGAACCCAGTTTAATTGTGTATCAGTGTTTGCATTAAACATCCATACGTTCTTGAAGGAAATAAAAGGTGATGTACATCAAACACTTTTACTGGTTGCCAAAGTCTTTGTGTTCATTTAAATATAGATCTTTTTCCATTTTGTGTTACTCTTTTTGTGCCATCTGTAGAGTCCGGTTGCCATGTTGGGACTAGGGTGGGAGTTTCACAAAGACTGGTCCGTAGTTACTCTGTTTAAGTTCCTCTTTGTTTCGGAAGACAGGAATGATATCAGTATAAGAATTTTAGTATTGACATTCTTAGTTATGTAAAGAAAAATCCTCAGCCTTTTCCGATTAATCCTCAAAAAAACAAGTCAAAATAATTACAGCATAATCTGAGGACAGGTTTCTTCCGTATCATTTCAGCCTTCACTGTGGGTTGACGGTAATGTATTTTTAAAGATGGGTTATCTGACAGTTTCTTTTTTTTTTACAGAATGCTTTCGGAATTTACTGCCTGGTCATTGACTTAGTCGAAACTTTGTTTTGCATTATTTGTAAACCTTGAGTTTTTTTTATGAGGATGTTGCAGACTTGTCCCGTTTAGTAATTTACTAACAGTTCATTTATCCGGGGACTCTGACCAGGCCTGGGGTGTGGAGAGGGTTTCTAGTTGAGCTCTTTAGGTTCCGATGGGCAGATTAGCTTCTCCCTCTTCTTGGTCCAAACCAGAAATTAGAGACTGATGTTGTCTTGAAGCAGTAGTGATGCAGGGATGTCAGATTTCAGCAGTGGTGCCCTCTCCTGTCCCCAGTTTCAGACATTCCCAGTGGAAGTGGGGAGTCTGTCACTCGAGTGCCGTATCTCTTGATTGCATGCGCTCTGTGGGCAGGCTGCTATTCTTACTGCACTCAGGTCCTGCGCAGTGCACTGTCGAACCCTGGGCTGGCTCTCCTCACGTCCTCACACCCTGGGCCAGCAGGTGGAAAACGGCTTTCGGTTTTGACCTTTTTATTTCCCCCCGCAGAAAGGACTGGCTTCTCCAGGGAGCGTTCTCCCATGTTTTATGGCTGCAGTCATTTTCAGTGTCTTGGGGAGAACCCCAAGGTGTGCAGCTTGGGTACCCCTTTGCAGCGTGTGAGGTTCTGCAATAGTATTTTTTTTTTCCTGCACAAAATAAGAGAATAAAGTCCATTGTGTCACAGGTCATGGCCCGAGGAAGAGCTCGCCGTGTGCCTCCTGGACTTGGAGCACGCAAGAACTCGGCAGTCTTGTGCGTCTCTGCTGGCGCGTGGGCTCTTAGCATCCTTCCCTGTTCTTTCCATTTCTCCTGCCTTCCCCGTCTCCTCCTGGGAGACGCCTCCCAGCCTTCTCATCTCTCCCCCTCTCTCTCTCTCTCTCTGTTTTGTTTTTCCAGCTTTCTGTGGTAATGTTTCTGAACACCCCAGCTCCCCCCCTTCAGGGTGACGGAGGGGGTGTGACCGGGCTCTGGCTGGTCGGGGCACAGCTCTTTGAGACTGTCCGTCAGGCAGACCTGCTGCACACAGGGCCAGAGATCAGCGCAGCCCTAGTCCTTGACTGGCTGCTTCTCCAAGGCTCGTGTTTGGGTTGTCTGAAATTCTCTGGGCTGCTCTCCAACGGCATACTGCTTTTCCCCACACTGTTATTCTCTGAATCATTAAGAATGTATTGATCACCCATTTTGTCCTCATTAATCATACCTAAGATGTTTCAGCGAGCAGACGTCTGTAAAGCTATGGAAGTGAACTTAATAGAGTCAAATAGAAATAAATTCAACTAAAATGTTAACTGATGCTTTTTGGAAAGAGTGGGTTCAATGGGCTTAAAAGGATTCTGATTTTAAGTACAGTTCAATTTGAATCTTTTCCATCCTAATTAGTGATCAATGATGAGTGGGTTGGAGTTGTAATCGCTTACTGTGTGCATGTTTCTCACTCCTGGCCTTTCGAAGAGTCTTGAGTTTTTTGTCTCTCACTTTGACCTTCATTTTATTTTGCTGAGGTGGTATTTGTAGGACATGACGTAATGAATATTTGATCCATTTTTTTAACTCTGCTTTGAGGATCTCAAAGGTTCCAAGTACTTTGTTAGGTCTTCATTAATAACATTGGGTTTAAAATAACTAAAAAAAAGTCTCTTTTTTTTTTAACGTTGAAGTCTGACTGTTTGATTAGACTTTGATTACATGTGTTTATTTGTGGCGGTAGTGCTTAAAAGAACCATCTATGGGGAAAGGTGATTTGAAATATTTCTGCAAAAAAAAAATAGAAAAAGAAATTGGTGTTTTTAGCCAGGGTTTTTTTTATTTTACAGTTCCTCAAGTCCATCAAAGCAAAAAAAACAGTCACACTATAAAATGGATCATGGTGTGAAAGATGGGCATTTTAACTGGATTGCTATATTGAAGCTGGGGATGGGGGAGGTGTAATTGATCAGTATGTCTTCATTGAATTATGATGGGGGTCTCACTCTCTTTCCCACATTCCTCAGTCTTTTCAGGACTTGGGCATTGTTGGGCTCTGATCCAGGTTTCTGGAATCACTGGTTGTTCAGGTTCCTGTCAGGCTGGTGTTCATTGCTGTGTGTGTATTTACTTTCCTTTGCAGTACTCCCTGGCTCTGCACAGAGTAGTTGCTCCGCTCCAGGCTTTACTAAGGAACCAGGTGTTGTCTTTATTGTTAATGCGACCAAGGGCCAAGGAGACAGAATATCAGCACTACACCCACACCCATGTTATCGGGAAAGAATAAGCTATTTCAATATTGTATTTTGTTTCACAGTACTGCATTTTCTACTAACTGCATAACAGAAAGCATGTTCTGCCTGATCATTCTTAAAAATTGCAGACTTGATCCTGTTTGCATCTTGCTTTTCGTACTTTGTTAGTTAGCTGCGCCCTGCCATGGCAGTCATAGCGATTTTCATCTGCTTTTTTAAAATATATTTATATAAACCATTGTTGTTAACAGTATAATCAGTAGTTTTCCAAGGAGCCTCACTTTTACTATTTAATTGGTGTGCCAGAACTCAACCACTTTCTAGTGTTGTTTCTACCAATGACGCAAGTTGAACTTCAGCAGTTGCACAGGGGACACCAGAATGACTTGCCCTATTCCAGGGATCACGTTTTTATACAATTTCTAGAAAGTGGTTAAGCAGTAACTTAGTTCTATGCCTATAAAGATAAGAACAGTGTGAATGTTGTGCAATAATTTAAAATGAATAATGATTAATATTGGGTTGCAAGAGACTTGGTTTAGATTAGAAGTAATTAAAACATCAGCTTTAAAACGAGCATGTTTTTTTTATCAGAAATGTAAAGATTGGTGTTGCAGAGACCCAAAACAAAGCTGTGTTCTGCTGGGCTGTGTGTTGCAGTGTGTGGATAACCTTGTTGGTGATCTGAGTAGTGAGCAGATATGCGAGTGCTGTTTGCCTGCCCTGCTTTGTGTCTCCTGCAGTCCTGGGAGAGGTGTGGTGGCCGCAGGGCTGAGCGTGTGGTCAGATCGGGGAGAAGGTGGGAAGTGGGCCCCCTCCCGACCCCCGCGACCTGTGAGCCCACACCTGCAGGAACTGCTTTCACTGGCTGCTTCGTCTCCTCTGATAACCTGCACTGTGTTTCTCTCTCCTCTAGCTTCTTTTAATCTGTCTTGGTCGCCTGTCTGAAGAGGGGATTGCAGCTTCAACAAGAATTAGGCATCCTCCCTATCCTCCCCACCCCAGTTCTTTGTACAAGTGTGGTTTTTCACTCTCATCCTGTATGCCCTGTTGAGCTTAACCACATGTGTGCCTGACATGGTATTTTACACAGAAATCCACACTGCCGAATCCTAGATGTTGGAGGGCTTGTTCTACACTTGGGCTCTCTGGTCACTCTTTGGGTCAACTTTAGGACTGTTGAAAGGAAAGCAGCGTACTGAATGGTTAGCTTCCATGTTATCTACAGCCACTGTTGCTTGGAGAAAGCATATTGCTCTCTTCACTCAGAAAACAGAATTGACTGAAAAAAAGTTTCCAGCTAACTACACGGATCAGGATTTGTGTAGTTCGTAAGTGTTGTCAAAAATATTTCTGTCAGACCTTCATGATTTTAAATAAACGTTGTAATACAATAGAAATGTATCAGTGTGTATCTTGTTTTCGATTCTATTCAAAAAACACTTATATCCCAAAATAGGTTTAGAACCTGTGAGAGTATAGAGCATTCAGTTTCCATGACAGAAAATAGTTTGCCATATGCTGGTTTAATTTAAAAGAATGCAGTCCTCAACACATTTGTATTTCAATAGTCTTTCTTGAAACATGCATCCAGTGTAACTGGTTCGATCTTGATTTTAAAAAAAAAACTTTTACTGCACTAGTGAACTTGTGCACTCGACTTGCACAGCCTCTGGGTGAACTTGGACCTCAGTTTACTCGGCCTGTGCTGTGAGCGACTACCGGGCAGCGTCTTGTAAAAACGAGTTTGAGCTCAAAGGGGACAAGGAGATGGGTGTGTTGAACATCATACTTGGTACAGGTTGGGCATGGCTCAGCTTAAAATTGAAGTTTTTCTGTTTAGAGAATATGCAGATTTCATGCTAGGAAAATCCAGAATATAAAGCTATTAGATGTTCTTTTTTTTTTTTCCTTGAAGTTTAGTACCACACGTTGTTAAATACCATGTGGGCCACATAGGGCACCTTTTACAACATGTGCTTTCAGTATTTCCTGCCTAATCTGTATCGTCTGCATGTCTACTGAGCGCTGTGTTCCATCTAACTTGTTTTGATCAGTGTCTTTTATTTTGGAATAGTTACATTCTGCACTGCTTGTTTTGACAGAGGAGATTCTGTTTGGAACCAGCTGTACCTCTGTTTCACACGCGGCAGCTGTAATGTGTCATTTCAATTGATCTCTGCAAACTTGCCAAATTTTACAATTTAACCTCACGGCTTGGCAACTGTAATTGATCAGGTTGTGCAGAAGGGCCGAGCAACACAAAACGCTGTAAACTAGTTTACTTGCATACTTCAGAGGGAATCTATTTTGTGAAGCAACAGGCCTATAGGAGTGGAGCCTTGTCTATTGACTCAACAATATTGTATAATTACTGTTTTCATTCTGTTAAATCTTTCCAGAAAGGAAAAAAAATTGTCATCGATTTTAATTCCATGTAACCCAGCTCCCTATATTGACTTGTTAAATATTTTGTTGTAGTTTGATGCCAGTGGTGTACATTTTCAATAAAAAATATGAAAACTAAACTGGTTTTATGGACCTTGATGTCTGCTCGCTGCAGTCTGCTGATCTTTGGTTTGTATGTAGCGCCCTCTGGGGGTCAAGTGCTTTCCTTTGCAAAGGCACAAAATCCATCCTTCACAGTGGGAGAGCCGGCCGGTCCGGTTGATGTGCGTGAACTACATTCGTCCCCTCTGTCGCTCAGCCAGGCTGCCCCTGGCGTGAGGGGGTCCCCGGCCCTCCCCGGCCCAGTGTGGGGGCGGATCCCTCCAGGCCCCCCAGCTCTGCTGCTCGTGACGGGAGACGTGCCGCGAGAGGTCTGCGCGAGCGGCGCGGCTGCTGCTCGGGCGCTGGTTCGCGAGCCGGAGAGGAGCGCCGTCCGTGTGTGTGTGTGAGGGTGTCAGTGTGTGAGAGTGGGTGTGTGCGAGGCCAGTGCGCCGCAGTGTTGGAAGCAGAGGCTCCCAGGACGAGCGCCCGCTGTCCCCCGACCTGCAGGGCTAAACCAGGCAGCAACGCTTCGTTAAGACAAGGCAGGTATTCACCGACTGACGGTCTTGTACCCCTTTCCGCGTCTCAAACCCTTTACTGCGCTGCAGAGCTAAAGCAGTGTGAACACGGGGGATTATTTAGTATCTCACTGCAATGCACATCGACAGTGATGCAGGTCCGGCACGACTCGATCACATTGAATTGCAGGGAAATAGAAGCAGATATCCGAGCAGCGTATACTGACTGTGCCACACGTTTCCCCGCTGCTTAATTTAGTTTATTGACTGTTGCGATCTGCACGGCGGACAAACACCTCGCAGTAGTTTCTAGAACGAGCGCTGCATCCTCGCTGTTGTTCCGCTTGGCGAACGCCAGGGGGCGCGCTTCGCCGGACGCGCTGCAGAGTCGAGGCCGCTCAAATCGCAGCTTACTTATCTGTCAAGATAATCATTTTTACGGTTCGTGAATCAAATACATATATGAACATATTTATCGGAAAGGGCGCTCTTCGAATAATTTGGGTAAAAAGTAATTTAGTTTCTTTTCGCGGCGACGTTCCCACGATGCCTTGCGCGGCGGAGTGGCCATGCTGCTTCCAGAGCGAGTTTAAATGGCTTCTTCCAAAGCGGCCGTGAGGAAAGCTTCTCGTAAGCGGAAAGCCAGCCCTTTGAATTTGGAAGAGTACAGGCAGGGTAACGAGAGCGACAAGCACTGGGTCGTCCGGCGGCAGTTTGTTTCAAAGCATGTCGAGGAGTACCGGGCGCGGAACAGCGTCGACCAGCTGCTGGCGCTGTCGATGGTGTGGGCAAACCACGTCTTCATGGGCTGCAGGTAAGGTAAACAAAACACGAGCTCAGGCTGTGCACGACCCAGGAGGCAGTGAGACGCGGAGATGCCCGGGAGCGGAGCCGGAGCGCAGGAACCGGCCGGTGTTGCGGGGGGGGCTGTCTGCTCACTGCAAGGCTGGGGTGCGCTTTTCGGGAGCTGGGATTTTTTTTTTTGGCGAGGCCGGTTGCGTTTGCTGTTAAAGGCGTGCGCGCAGCTGAAGTGGTTTCAGAAGAGAACGGGCTGTCCTGTGTGCTGTTGGACTCTCTGCAGTGGTGGGTGGTCTGCGCAGCCCTGCCTCTGTAACGTTGCACGTCCCTTGACCGTACTGCATTCTGCGCAGGACACTTGAGTTTCAGATGCCTTTTTCTTCCCCCTGACCACTTAAGCGTAGTGCTCATCACCTCATTCTCGACATCATTTTTCTATCCGTTATTCATAAGCCCTCCAGTGCAGCGCTCTTCACCCCCGGCCTTGGTGGGAGGGGGGTCTCTGCTGGTTTAGCTTGTGATGCACAGGAGGAGAAATGCTAGCAGAGGAAGTACACGTGCTGCACATGGGTCTGATCCCGTTTCCCACGCAGTAAAAAGGAACTGTTAGAGATCCCCTCAACCTTAAGCTGTCGGGTTGGAGGGACTGTGTAAAGAAAAATACATCTCTATTTTCTCCGCGCCTGGTCATCGCATCGCCGGGTTTATTTTTCACTTGTATCACGGAGGCGGGAGCAGCGAGTTGGTTGCCGTGTGCGGCGCCCTAGCGACGGCTGTACTGCGCATGCAAGTAGGGTCGTCTGGTGAAATGGCACAATTATACAGGGATACAGAATGGGGAGCTACAGCTCAAGGCTCTGGTGTTGGTAAACATCCGAACTCCTGTCCTAGTTTTCTCATGAATTCATAAAGCAGTAAGGGCTCGGGTGTAAGGTAACCAGAAGACCTCATGGCTCCCAGGGGCCAGAGGAAGGAACACGAGCTCAAGATAAAGCAGCTCCTGAACTCCGGAGCAGGGAGAATCCCGGGCATGCTGTGAGGAGGCGGAGGAATAGGGAATGGCCAGACCGACTCCAAGCACTTACATGCATGGGCTTGGATGAGGGGCGGGACACTGCTGAGTATTGAAAGAGTGCTTACAAACGAGAGGCAGTCAGCCCGACTGCGCCGACTGCGAAGCCCCTTCCTGGGGGAGGTTGTTCTGCCCGGCTGGAGGAACTGGGCTCTGTGTGGGGGCCAAGGGGCGCTGTATGGGCGGGCGGCCGGGCGGGGTGGGGGCTGCAGGGTGGTCCGGGTTCCCACGGGCCTCTTGCAGGTCAGGTCTCGGGACGATGGGAAGGCTGATCGCGTCCCCCTCCCGCGCTACGACCAGGGAAGGGCCTGAGCCGGACAGATGTCGGATAGCTCCGTCGGCACGAGCCTCGTCTGTGCAGGTTCCTCCGGAATCACTGGGCGGACTGGGAAGAGCCCAGTATCGTACCGCCCCCCCCCCAGGGAGGTGGACAGGGTGGACTCTGTGGGTCTTCAGCAGCTGATGTTACCCTGAATCGGACCTGAGAAACGTTTCTTGTGCTGTTGGTAAGGGGCGTGACCTCACACTGACCCATGGGGATTCTGTGCAGGCGCTGAATGTAGTGTGCGTGTGCGTGTGCGCTGATTTTATTTATTCATGCACCAGGAAAGGGAGTGTAAACACTTTTAAGAAACACATGTATGTCTGCGTTCACATTCCTAGGAGCTGGGGGACAGCGACCCGAGCAGTTTGTTCTGCAGCCTGTGAGGCTGCTGTGTTAGCAGTGGGGTGTCTGTGTATTAAGTCTCGCAGGCTGGACCGGCGGGTAGATCAGACCTGGGCTACAGAAGCACTCTGGCTCTTGTGCGCCACTGCTCCTCGGGGAGAGCCTTTGATCTTCGCGATGACAGTTGTTGTATTTTGGTGGGGCTAGAAGCTTTCTGCCGATAGCAGGTTTGTGTGTGATGTAAGGGTTAGCACCGCTGGGGAACAGGTAAAGGTTTGTTCCCTGCCGAAAGGAAAAGGAGTACACCGTTCCGTGCCCTTCCCTTTGCAGCCTGCACATACTGACCCGCCTGCCTGCGTGCTGTTACTGTGAGGTGTGTCCTGTCCGGGTGGAGATGGTAAGGCATGATGTCTGTGTGCAGGTATGGCCCCGAGCTGATGCAGAAGGTCCAGAGCATGGCCGAGGGCATCGACATAGGGGAGGTGCCCTCCTTTGAGCTGGTCCCTGGTGCTGAAAAGAAGAAGAGGCCGAGCTCATCAGATGACAGTGAGTACCGACACAAATACGGAGCAGGAAAAGTTTTTTTTTTTTTTTTTTTGTTCCACTTCTCCTCTTTGGAGATGCTTCAAGTTACACGAATACTACATGGTATTCAGAGAAGTATTCC